CTTTAACAGAAGAGAAAGTATTACAGGTTGGGAGAAAGATACAACGATAATTTGTAATACACTTACAAATAAAATTGAGCTTAAGTGTCAGATTGGCAATCATTTCAGTGGGCTTCAAAAAAAAAAGAATGATAATGTCAATTTTAACAATTCTTTGTGGAAATACACTTTATTATCCAAACCGTTTGAAAAAATGAAGGTTTAGGTAATTTAGAAATATTTTGGGAAATGTGTTAAAAAGCTATAAAATATAAAATACATTTGGAACCAGAAATAGATACAACTGAGACAGAGTGGGTTAGTAAAAAAAAAGAACAGAACCTTTACATCAGTTGTTCAAGACAAATTCTATCTAACCTTGTTTAAAACTATAAGGCAGCCCTTTTGCTTGAGAATGAATATATTGAAAAAGAGAAATATTCACTTAATATATCAATTGATAATTTTGTCAAAATAGTTACTTTTTATTGAAATTGAAGTGGAAGACTAAATATTTATAATTAAAATAAGTATTAAGTAATTCAAAATCATCATAAAAAATTAAGAAAAAGTGAAAACTACACAAAATCTAACAAAAGTTAATTTTGTTTTTTTATCTTTAGAATATGGTAACCTGTTTAAAATTCATTGATAAATTATTATGATTTTAATAGATGATTTTACACTATTCGAAAACAAAAACCTTGTTTAAATTTCATTCATACATTTTTTAAAGTTCAAAATCAAATTTTCTAGTTTATTTAAAAAATTACTTTTTATTTTATTTAATGTTTTTATTATTTTTTTAACACACGCGCTCTCTCTCTCACACACACTTTTAATTGTCTTTTGATTGAAGGAGTAAATATGATTTTAAAACATAGTAAAACAAAATATTCAGATTGTAACAACAATTGCTTTTTAGTTAGAAATTGAATATTACTAATAAGGTTTTTCATTTCAACCTGGTTTGATCTTTTTTATCTGTGTTAACGGTTCTGTTTAAATAGTTATTTATTTTTTAATTATTTATTTAGTTACATTCTATTCATTAAGTAATTATTTAGCTGAGTATTTATTTAGTCGATGTAAATTTTATATTTACATCGACGATATTTACATTTTTACAATTCTTGTATAAATCAGTATGAAAAGCATGAAAATAATTTTTTTTCTGAAAAAAAATAATTTTAAGTACTTTTTTTTACCTTGAAACTTTTTTTTTTTTGAGGACTTAGATTTTATTGTTGAAAACTGAAATTTTCCGTAATCTCCGAAGAAGAACGCAGTTATTCACCAAATCATCTAAAAAACAAAATTTTAGACCGTATCCAAAAGAGCAATTTTCAAAATTTTGGTTTAACCGACAACATACTGACGAAAATTAAATTCTAAACATTCACTCTCCGTTTTGCAAAGTTGTTTATTTTGTTATATTTTTAAAAAGGTTCTCAGTTCTTAAAACTTGTTTTTTTTAATTATCTAAACTAAAGAAGTTAAACACCCTCAAAACCAGAAGTAAATCGGCTTGTCAGCTAAGTAAATTGATTGGAAAAGGTTCAGAGTTTCTTCCATCTGAACTCCCAACCTCTCGAGATGTCCTAAAGTATGGATTGTATTTAAGGGAGATAAGTGAAAAAGACTACAGAAACCATACTGTTGATCAGCTTGTTAAGAAAATTGTTCCAGGAATTTTATCGCAGTGGAAAAAAGCAAATGTTAAATTAGTAAGTCCAGTTATAAATTCTGAACGAAGAGTTAAATATAAAGTAAAAGAGCTATGGTTGTTAGCTGTTGAAGTTAGTAATGGTAATGCAGCTATATCAATTACAGAAAGATTTATGGAAAGACTTGATAAACTTTTTGATTTGTTTACTTGCAATTGTAAAATTATGTTTTGCATAGAGATTAATTGTAAAGAAAATTGTGACAGAAAAGCCCCACATTGAATGTGCTTGTAAAAAAGATCAAAAAATTCTTTTCCTTGAATTAAATTTTGTTAAATATCAAAGAGAAAAAATCGGAACCAAAGGTTTTCTTCAGATACGTGGAATTGATCACATTGAAACTAAGAAACAAAACAAAAGTTTGAAAAGGTGTTCAATAGAAAATCACGCATCACAAATGAAAAAATAAAAAAAATACCAAGAAATTTAAACGAAGAAAATGAAATTAGGATCTTCTTACCCGAAAGTGACTTGCACGAAATCTCTGGTATTTCAAATAATAAAGTACAAATGAATATTTCAGAAAAAAGAAAAGTAAAAGAGTATAACACCATGAATATAAGTAATATAGCATTAGCAAGCTTAAGGCATTATACAGGGTTAAGAGAAACTGCAGAAATAGCAACTGCTGCCCTTATTGATGCCAAACTTATCACAGAAGGTAATACTAATTATATTATTGATCATAACAAAGTTAGACGAGCACAAGAAAAAATTGGAAAAGAGTTGACTTCAAAACTCCAAAGTGAACTAAACAATAATGGTTTGAGTTGCATTCTTTTTGACGTTAGAAAAGATGACACTAAAATCTTTTTTGATGTGGAAAGTAGGAAATTCCCAGGGCTAGTAAAAGAAGAACATTATACTGTGTGCAGTGAACCTGGTGGAAATTATTTATTTCACTTAGCTCCTGAAGAATCGAATGTAAAAAAACCTGCAGAGATAATTGCAGATCATTTAATTGAATGGCTTAAAGAAAGATCTTTGCATTTGACATTGGAAGCCATAGGTTGTGACAGTACCAATATAAATACTGGATGGGCAGGAGGAGTGATACAGTGAGTTAAAAAAAAACTTGATAGGAAACTTGTATGGATTGTATGTGACCTACACACTGGGAACTAGGGTTACGAAGTCTAATTAAGTTTCTTGATGGTCATACTAAGTCCAGCAATCATTTGTCAGGACCACTTGGTAAGATGCTGAATAATGCTACAAACCTTGAAATTAATCCACAATTTATAAAACTTTGTGAAGCTTCTCCTCTTATCCATCTTGATCCTAAAATTATTAAAGATCAGAGCTATGCATACCAAATTGTGACATCCATTAAAACTGGAGTTCTGTCCAAGAGATTGGCATTACTAGAAATTGGTCCTATATGTCATAGCAGATGGCTAACTACTGCTTTAAGATTTTGCAGAATATGGGTGTCTAATCATGGATTAACAGGTGAGCTTTTGAATAAGTTAAGAATGATAGTTGAGTATATTGTTGGTGTGTATGTTCCTAACTGGTTCAACATTGAAGAATTTATTAACATTCCAATGAAAGTAACTAAGTGGCCCTCTCATACACAATCTGTTGAAAGATGTGTAAAAATGACTTCTGAAAGTGCTTGTCATGTCTTTGGTCAGGTTAGAAGAGATACATACATTCAAGGTCAGATAGCTAGTAGAGAGCTAATGTCCAGTAATTCTAGTAAAAAAGAAATGAAAAGTCTAATTCAAAAAAAATAGTTGGGAGTATTAATTTATTCACATTTGTAAGAATGTTATTTACTTATTTTTTTTAAGAAGTGATTATATATATACAGAGTGCTCAAAAAGTTTGTTGTTTTATTTTTAAGCCAAACTATTAATCTTTTCAAACTAATAATCTTTTTTAAACTATTAATCTAATTGCCTAACTATTAATCTTTTAAGTTAATATATATATATATATATATATATATATATATATATATATATATATATATATATATATATATATATTATAGTTATATCCAGTTAATATATATAGTTATATCCATTAATATATATATACAGTTAATATATACAGTTTTATCCAGTTATATATTATATCCAGTTAAGTTAAAGAGCTTGTTTATTTATATATACTTGTATATTTACATGGACATATATATATATATATATATATATATATATATATATATATATATATATATATATATATATATATATATATATATATATATATATATATATATAGGGCCGGCGCAAGTAGGTGTCACGTAGGGGGAGGGGGGTGTCATTACATTTTGCCGACTTAAAAAAAAAGTCCTCGTTTTCCAAAATTTGCCGACTGCCATGACGACATTTGCCGACTGTCTAGATTACCGACTAACCTATATCGAAATATATATCTATATACCCCCCCCCACACACACACACACACCTATCGCGCCGGCCTTGTATATATATATATATATATATATATATATATATATATATATATATATATATATATATATATATATATATATATATATATATATATATATATATATATATATATATATATATATATATATATATATATATATATATATATATACTTAAACAGTTAAAAATATAGATAGGAATTTTGAATTCAATAACGCAACAATGTTATTATTCCTGGTAAATATTTAACTTAGATTTTTTTCATAACTCGTATTTGCAATTTAATCAAATAAAACAAACAAAACAAAAGATTTTTGTGAAAAGGATAGGAGAGTCAATGTTTTAAATTATCGTGTTGTCCGTTAAATTAAATTTTGAAATATGCTTTTTTGCATATTATTAAGAATTTTGTTATCTAGATGATTTGGTAAATAACTGCGGTCTTCTTCGGAGATTACCAAAAAAACTAAGTCAACAAAAAAAAAAGTTTCAAGGTGAAAAAAAGTAGCTTAATGGTTGTTTTTTTCAACAAAAAAAAATTAGTTTCATATTTTTCATACTGAGTTACATTTAAAAAAACTAGCCATAATCAACTTTCCAAAAAAGGTGAAAATCGACACACCCTAATATATATGTAGTTTAGTAGATAGGTAGATATTTCCAATGCGACACTATTCTATTGCTGTTGAGGTGTTCACGGTTGCTCTTTTTTTATAAAATGGGTATATTGGACATAAAAAAGCTAAATCATTTTAAAAGTATGGTATATATATATATACATATATATATATATATATATATATATATATATATATATATATATATATATATATATATATATATATATATATATATATATCATTATTCTTACATACAGTTGTTTATTTAGATAAAGAATTTTTCTGATGTCCATCAGGATTTTGGACGTCGATTAAATGAAGCGATAGATGAGCTTGTAAAGGTAATTTTTTTTACCAGATTATATAAATTAAAAAAGTTGTTCATCCGCTCATATAATTTCTACTAAAAAATTTTTTTTAGGGAACAACTTCGGCAAAAGCAAATTTGTGAACGACTTTTTTTAGTTACTACTAAATGATTGTCACTGTTGAAGTTTTCTTGTTGGTTTATTTTTCTTATTATTTTAAATTAGAGATTTTATTTTCATACGTTTGAAAAATATTTACTGTGTAATGTAACACGCACGCACACAAAGTTTAAAACGTACTCAGTGTGTGTGAGTTTTAAAACGTACACTGTGTGTGTGTGTGTACATCGGGAAAATTACATTTTAAAATAAAGTGGTGATGTTAACTCAGTTATGTTCTTTGTATTAGTATCAGTTTTGCTTTTTTTAATTGATAAAAATGATCGATTTTATATACCCAAATAGTTAAAAATATAAGTATTCTTTTTTTGAAATCATCATTCTCCAGATAGTCTAGTTTACCTCACGTAAATTTTTGTATGTAGTTGTTTATGTACATGATTTTTCTTTTTTTTCTTTTTGTTAGTAAAAGTTTTTATCTTTTTATAAAATATAATTTTTATTAATGTACTTCTAGTTTTTATAAGTTTAAATGTTTTCTTTAAAAAAGCAGTTTCATTTTTGGTTTTAATGATCTTTAAACAATCTTTCAGTTTTTTCGGTGAAAATGTTCTTGTTTTCTTTTAAAATATGAGCTAAACACGTGATCTAATACATTATTGTTATTGTTTTTCTTTGTTTCCATGAAATTAAAAAGTTTTCGTAAAATTCCTGTTTATTTTTTACTATCGATTCTTTACTAATCAGCTTTTCGTATTTTACTGTTTTTCTGTCAAACATTGCGGTTAAAATTCAGATTTATGGAGCTCTTTGTGGTTTACTTTCTTTTGCAGCGTTATAGTTAAATACTTTGCCTGGTTCAAATAATTTTGGTATTATAAAAGGTTAGTTGTTAAAGACCTTTGTTACATATTTTGAAATCATCTATTGAGAAATGAACTATTTAGAAATAAATCTTTTCTCTATTTGATTTTTTCTTTTAGCTCAATAAGTTTTTTTTCTAGAAAAGGTTTTTTCATATCTTTATTCCGGTAAATGAATCCCTTTTTATAATTTTTTTGAAGATTATTCAATGCAGCTACATTTTGTAAAGATACTCTTTTTGAGTGCAATGTTTTTGAAAAATTATTTTTAAAATTTTTCTGATCATTGTTTTGTTCAAATTTTGACGTCTTTAAACTTGGTTGCTCAAGTGTGCGAGTATTTACAAACTCATTCCTGTAGGGAATCAATTTTTGTTTATCTTCCATTTCCAAATTGTTATCAATAGAATGTGGAACGACAGTTTTTTTTGTTAGAGGTACTCTTACTGTAAATCTGACTAGTTTTGGACGGTCGGCACAGTAATTGCGTACATAAAGTGCTTCAGAACTATCTAGGTCCCAATTGTACATTATAAATTCGTCGATATATCCTCTAAAGGTGCGATCTCCAATACTTGCATCATTGTCCCAATTAGTCGGAAGAAATTCACGCCTTTCGTCGGGTACAAATTCCTTAAGCTTTTCTTTGCTATTTACGTAAATTTTAACAATACCGTTTTCATTGTTGTATGTGGTTACTATATGCGTCCACAAACCTTCAGATATAACCTGTGACTCAGTCATGTGATCAAACAACACTGGCACTGTATCTGTACCGATAGCCCATCTTACTCTACCATTAACAACTTGTAAACGATATCCAATATTACCTTCGCTGCTTTCGGTTGTGAATATATTGTGGATTCCGTTTGTGCTATTTAAATTAATCCAAAGAGCTATAGATATCTTAGTTCTTGGTAACTTTTTAACTGCTATTTGTTCAATTTTCATAGCTGGGTCTGGTCCGTTTGTAAGATCAAGACAATAACCGCATTTCTCCCCGTCTTCTTTTTGTCGAGCACCTATAAAAATTTTAAAAAATCATAGTAGGGCATAGTAGTATTTTTTTAAAATAAAACGTTTTGTAATTTAGAGTTTCCAATAGTTTTCGGATTATAAATCGGAAATGAGTATGGGATTATTTATATAGTTCTTTTTTTTTTTTCTTAAAAAAAAAAATGAGATAAAAAGACATCAAGAGAAACGAGATAATCAAATATTTTTTAATGAGTTTTTGAATATTCTTGACTTAATTAACTTATTAATTTTTGTCTTTTTTTTTTGTCATCAATTTGTAAAAATACAAATTATGGTAACATTTGAACGCTCTAACCGGGGCTAGTTATACTTATCTCTTATCATTTACATTTATCCAAGAGGCTGAATGAGTAAAAATTTCATAAGTGCAAAACAGTTGAAAAACTGGCATAAGTGTGTTAAAAAAATTTGCAAACATTGACATAAGTGCGCCAAATAAATTTGCAAACATTGGCATAAATGCCCCAAACAAATTTGCATAAGTGCGCCAATTAATTTTGCAAACATTGGCATAAGTGCGGATCTCTACGCACTTATGCCAGTTTTTGCAACTGCTTCGCACTAATGTCAATGCTTTCATATTTTATAAGTGTTCATAATTTCATAAGTGCGAACTGGCGTAAGTATACTTACGCCAGTTCGCACTTATGAAATTCGCAGTTATTTCAGCCCAATATATCCTATAACTTTAATTTTTTTTGTTTTTTTTTTTCTTTTTCTTTTTTTTTTCAGGGTTCTAAAATAGATCTTAGTGACGCATTAATTCAACATCGATAAATATAATATAAAACTACGCAAAAGTGAAACCAAAATAAAAATTAAATGTTGCAATTTACCTGCTCCGAGGCAAGTCGCAACAGTGAACATGGAGAGTTGTAACACAATACTTTGAAAGTATTGTGTTATTATACAACCGAGTTCACTAAAAGTTTTAGTTAGTCTGTAATTTTCTATTTTACAAAATATTTTTTATTTGGAAACAAAAAATTTATAATTACAATAAAGGAAAGTAATATTTTAATTGAGCTGCAATACTTTTATGCGAAATTTACACCACACTTGTTTAATCAACTGATTATTACGTACAAAGGCTGAAGAAATTTAACATACACCACACTTGTTTAATCAACTGATTATTACGTACAAAGGCTGAAGAAATTTAACATACACCACACTTGTTTAATCAACTGATTATTACGTACAAAGGCTGAAGAAATTTAACATACACCACACTTGTTTAATCAACTGATTATTACGTACAAAGGCTGAAGAAATTTAACATACACCACACTTGTTTAATCAACTGATTATTACGTACAAAGGCTGAAGAAATTTAACATACACCACACTTGTTTAATCAACTGATTATTACGTACAAAGGCTGAAGAAATTTAACATACACCACACTTGTTTAATCAACTGATTATTACGTACAAAGGCTGAAGAAATTTAACATACACCACACTTGTTTAATCAACTGATTATTACGTACAAAGGCTGAAGAAATTAAATAACGAGGGTTATTATTTAAACTAATTTACTATTTTAATTAGGTGTTTCTGAAGAAAAAATATTCTCTTTGTCTATTAAAACAATAAATTAGTTTAGAAAAACGCATGAGAAATTTTTAGTATATTAAAGTTCTTATTTTTTTATTTTTTATTTTAGGATATAAAAACACAATAACATTTTATTTAAATAAAAAAACAAAGAAATTAGAATGTAAAAAAACAATACAAATTTTCAATAAAATTTCATAAAAACAAACAAAAAATTAAATAATAACAAAAAAAGTTTTTCCTACCAATAAACTTTCATTAAAAAACAAACAAGTAATAAATAACATTTCAATTCAACAACTCGATTTCATAAGTATTTTTTTTTTTTTTTTTTTTGATGTAGTATGTAGGGTAAGGTTGCCGATATTGCACCGGCGCCTAAATTGTACTTTTGCTGTACCTCGTTATTTTTACAACCAAAAAAATATCTTTAGAATAAAATTTTATTTTTGCTATGTTGAACTAATAAATCAGTTGTTTTTTTTATGAGATGAACTAGATTGTGGCAACAGTTACCTCTAGTTGATATGATGCCAAAGTTTTCTTATTTTTGGGGTTTAATCTTTTGAGTATTACTTTGAACATGTTAAATATATGTCTTTTTTATCATATTCATGTGAAAACACTATTTATGTGAATTCAAAATAACTTCCGAGAAATAAATATACAAAAGCTTTTTGTTTTCTAATTTCGTTATAAACTTAAAATAAGTCTAGTTGCGTAATTTGTATCTCACTTAAGGCCTAAAATTGTACTAAAGCTGCCATTTTGAATTTTGAATATTTGTAATTTTTGTTAAGAATGAAGATTTTCTGTTTTGTATTATTAATATAAAGTGCAGTAATATCCTTCATTTTCCTACCAAAATTCTAGCTACCACATTAGAAAGTTACACATATAGTAAAATGTTATACTTTATTGATGATAACTGTTTTCAGACTATTCCAGGAAAGATTTACAGGTTCATAGTTTATTAAATTCAAAACTTTTTTATATTGTTTAGCACAGAAAAAGATCTTTACAAAAATCATTCAAAATGTACTTTAAGTTAATATTTTTAATTGTAAAATCAAAATATAGGTATATACAATATTGGATTATAATGGTACGATTTAGGATCTTGTTTCCTTAATTGTACCAATAGCATATTTTTTTAAATTTAATTCCTATCAAATACCAACATTTAAATTTTTGAATATTTCAATTTATTTAGGACAGCTTATCCCCAAATTATATAATACAATAAAGTCTCATTGTTTCTACTTTGTATTTTTTCTCTATTTTTGACTTTATTTTTAGAGGGTACAATATCGGCAACCTTACTCTAGTAAGTATTTATTAGCAGATTTTCGCTTTCTAGAACTAATTTCTTTGTTAAAAAACGTTTATGTTTTTAAAAAAACTTGAAAAGAGCGTAAAATCAATTAAACTCTTAGCTGTTAAACATAATCCAAGCAATTGGATGCAACTTACCCTTAGGCATCATGATCACTCCAATTGATGTATATAATTATTTACATTACACCAATCTACTTCTTTTTTTTGTTCGTAAAAAAATTTAATTTACCTTTTTTTTTTTTATCATGGTAATACATCTCTAAGTTTACTGTAAAACCCAAAAAACTTTGAAATCGAAAATTAGAATAAAAATTGTAATTTTTTTCGATATAAATATCGAAATAAATTTCCAAATAACTTTGGAAATTTTCAATTTATTACTAACTTTTTTATAACAAGCGTGTTATAATTATAATTATATATTATAAAAAAAAATCAGATATAATATATAAAAGTTATTATTTAAAATATATTGTTGCAATTTATCCTTTTGCAACTAGCCCCGGTCTCACTAATTAACCATATAAAATCTTAATTTTGTTAACATACCAAAAAAGAACGAAAACAAAATTTTTTTATAATGAAAAATTCAAGTGAAATAGTACTTCTGGATTTTTAATATTATTTAATAAGAGAAAACGGTCGTTTGATAATATTTTTATAATATGTAATACCAAATTAAATCTTACCTCCTACCAAAATTGCATCGTTATCTAATCCCGATTGGTCCGAAATGCTCGTTTTGTTACCTTTTTGAAATCCAAAATGAAGTATCATACGGTTAAAAGTGCATCGATTAAAAAGCATTTTAATTTCACTTTGCGTAAGAGCTCTGTCATATATCAAAACCTCGTCTGCGTAGTGCAAACTGTCATCACCAAATCCTGTGCCAATACCATTTACTAACCAATCTTTTGAAAGCTTTTCTCCTTTCCTTTGAGTCTGTTCTTGTTCCAATTCCCCGTTAATATATATTCTTGCAAGACCTAAAAATGCATAATTAAAGTTCATGTCACTTTCTTTTTTAATTTACATGCCTACTTAAGGTACAATTGCTCAAAACTAATGATTGCTTTACTATAAAGTAAAAGGTATGTATATGTTATTCAAAACACATAAAGTTTTGCTTTACCCAATAATGTTTTGATGAACTAACGTAACTTTTAAACTGAAATTCAACAACAGAAAGCTGATTCGTATCTCAAAATGGTTTAAATGTTAATTACCTATTTGTTTTGCGAATTAAAATGCAGTGTATTCATACTGGTAAATTCTTTAATCTTTATTTTATCATGTTTTTTTTCATTCTTTATTTTATCATGTTTTTTTCATTCTTTATTTTATCATGTTTTTTTCATTCTTTATTTTATCATGTTTTTTTCATTCTTTATTTTATCATGTTTTTTTCATTCTTTATTTTATCATGTTTTTTTCATTCTTTATTTTATCATGTTTTTTTCATTCTTTATTTTATCATGTTTTTTTCATTCTTTATTTTATCATGTTTTTTTCATTCTTTATTTTATCATGTTTTTTTCATTCTTTATTTTATCATGTTTTTTTCATTCTTTATTTTATCATGTTTTTTTCATTCTTTATTTTATCATGTTTTTTTCATTCTTTATTTTATCATGTTTTTTTCATTCTTTATTTTATCATGTTTTTTTCATTCTTTATTTTATCATGTTTTTTTCATTCTTTATTTTATCATGTTTTTTTCATTCTTTATTTTATCATGTTTTTTTCATTCTTTATTTTATCATTTTTTTTTTGGTTTTAAAAAGACTACTCAGACTTTTTTTTTAAATCCCGGAAAAAAAACTGAAACTTTTTATTTCCTGTGTAACAAGTTTCTTGAACTAATATAATAAGTAATTCACAACCATGAATAAATCCACTGTTATAAAGTACGGTAGTCCTCTTTCTCCAGCATTAGCGGGCAGAAGTTGGATCAACTATGTCAGTTTTAACGTCACATCTGAAAACAAATTCGGTGGTTTATGTTTTAAGTAAAAACGAAGAACTTCGCAATGAGTGTCTCGCATTTAAAACAGCCATAAAACAACAAAATTCTAATGCTTAGAGATAAAAGTACTCGTTTGCGCGAGCAAATAGAATGTCTTTGAAAAGAGAAATCTCTTCCACATCAGATACACACGGCTGTTTCAAGTTGAGCTTTACGGCTTCTTAATAGTTTTTGAAAATAGTTTCTTAAAGAGTGTTACTAAAACCTTTAAAACTTTTGAAATACTAGAGATAATTTTGTTCTGTAAAAAGATTAATAAAATAAAAGCCATTTTGTATCTTATGATATATAAGAAATTGAAACCTCCTTCGATTTTTACATAAACGGGCAAAGGATGAACATAGCTAAATTTCTATAATTTATTTTTAGTTTTTATCAAAACAAAATACGAAAAGACATTTTTTAGATATTTATTATCAAATATAAACATTTAAGACCATCATAAATTATAAAAATTTACTTAAACTAAATGTGATATGAATTAGAGTTTATTAAAGATCAGACATTAAAATCACAAAATAATATTTGAGAAAATGTTTTATGTTTTACGTCATCGTTATAAAAACGTAAACACAAATTTACGCAAAAAACTAGAGAAGTTTGCAAAACATGACATGCTTGAAAACATATTGCCTTACATAGCTAAAAGATACATATAATATTTTTAAAATTTTAATATGCATAAAAAAAACTTTATTATCTTATGTCATCCATCGAAAAAGTTACGTTTGGCATTTAAAAAGAATAACTTTTAAAATATAAATGCATTAAAAACAGACTTTTTGTAAATTTAATACATGGATGACATAAGATTCAGAAAGATTAAACATTCATTGATAAGTACTCTGAGTTTCGACAGTCCAGCATAAAGATAAGTCAGGCAATTTTAGTTTTCCCGAGACAGGTTTTTCGTAAATATCGCAAAAAACAATAGTAACAATTAATTCATCTGCAATCAAAAAAAAAATACTTGTAACAATTAATTCATCTGCAATTATAAAATCAATTCACTGTCTACTTAACACAAGCCGAACGTCTGCATATTTAATAACAAATAAATTGCTACCTCCTCTTATAGTTGAATTTGACACAGTCAAAGAAGTCAATAAAACAATCAACTATGAATCTAACAAACTATCAGGTACACACAAAACGTTAAACCCTAAATCATCAAGTAATAAATTTTTAAGCTGCTTCTATACCAATGCTACATCTTTAAACCAAAAAAAACTTGTGGATTTTTTAATAGCTGTTTCTAACTATAAACATTTTTATCACAGAGACTTGGTTTAACGCTTTTTTGACCCCATCTCTTGCAAACTATAATATTTTCAGAAAAGACCGATCTACTCATTAAGATTGCATTTATTGTAAGTATTTATTGCCCACCAACTAACGGAATAAAAGCTTTAAATGAAATTGCAAACACAATTTCATATGCCGAATCATTTGTTATTTTATTAATCATTCAATTTAAGCAGCCGTGGAATCATTTGTTATTTTATTAATCAATCAATTAAAGCAGCTGAGGCGCAGTGGTAGCGCACTTGCCTCAGAAACATAAGACCCGTGGATCAAACCCCACCTCTGGGCAAGTTTTGCGACATCGGTTGGGAAGGAGGCGTGAACTTCCTATTAAATGCTCTTGCGCGGTGCTCTGTGATAAGACCGTAAGGACTTCTTTGTGCACCTAAATCAACTTAAAAAAAAAAATCATTGCCGGTGATTCCCACCATCAAATTGAAAAAAATGGTAGACATACACCTCAAACACTAAAACAAGTTTAGATAAAAAATTTGTAAATACCATCAACAGTCTATACTTACATTAACTTGTCACTAACCCAACATTTATTCAACACAACGGACCTTAAAAAAGTATTCTTGACCTATCAATCAGCGATTCGGCCAACCATAACGTAACCGTAAGTGAGATTTTAGTTGGTCCTCCTCTAGGAAATAGTTCACAAAGTCACTGTTTTCTATCCTGGCACTATCAGTTATCTAATGGCTACGCCAAACATTTTCGCTTTACTAGTTCGAAAATTTTGTTATAAAAAACAAAATGATATCCTATTTAACAATTACTTAGCCAAGCAGAGGTGAGAAATTCTATTTAAAAACTTAGAAGTCAATTAAAGCAACAAAGTTTTCTGCAATAGGGGAGATGGGGGCGTATTGATCGCCGGGGAAGCATCTTTTAGCATTTATTCGTTTATTTTTGCCATATTTTGACAGAGATTGCAATTTGATCAACCATTGTACTACCTTTTATTGTTTAATCGTAATATTTTTGATAAGATCAACTTCTGCGTTAAGAAAGTAAAAAATACAGTTTTTCATCATAAAAAGTGATTTTTTTAAAATTTTAATATATAAATTCAAATAATTTTTAATTAGATATCCGAATGACTCTACAACTTTTTTATTGTAATATTTCATATGTGTTAAGTCTAAAATAAATTTGTTTTTTTGTGTTGGTTACAATATTTACAGAAGTTATTGGCATCAATATATCAACTGTACCTGTTCATTGATCGTTGATTATGCGGGGTTCATAGATCGGAGGGTCAAAGTGCCCCACAAAACTTATATTATAAGACTTATATTTTTTGTTTGAATTTTATACGAATGACATGTACTTATGACGAATAAAAAATTTTATATAAAAAATATAATTTTTAACATTTCATTTTTAAAATGTAATAGTGTTAAAAACTAATATTAATAGAAAATTTTCAAGTTTTACAATTAGTTTACATAATATTATTATGTAAAATACTTTTTTTTAAACAATTACTTTATTCTAAACTTTTTAGTTTTAATTTTCAGATCTTCATAAATGGTTTTCAAGATTTATAAATGGTTAGGTATAGAAAAAACAACAGACAGAGCTGCTATACTATATGATACAATGAAAGCAGCTGTTAATAAAGTTTTGAATGAAGACAAAGGAATGTTGTAGCTCGCAAGTTTGGTATAAATTGAATGACTTTAAAAAGATATTGTCATAAAAAGAAGCTCAATTCAAATGAATCTTTTAAGCCTAATTACAAAAATAAACAAGTTTATACTGCAAAAGAGGAAAAAAGTTTATCAAGTTATTTACTACTTGCATCAAAAATGAAATATGGACTTTCAACTATGGAAGTCAACACGATTATTGAAATAAGAGTTTGCTGTAAAAAATAATAAGATCTGCCCACCATCATGGATCAAAAATAAAATTGCAGGAGACACACTGTAAAAATTTTTTTTTTTAAATCTAAAAACAGTAAAAAAGTGATATAAATTTGATCTTTATTGCATATATAACGTTGATGATACTGGTTTAACAACAGTACAAAAGCCAGTAAAAGTGTTAAAGCAGGTAAAGGAAGTAAAGAAGAAATAAGAATCACATCTGCAGAACAAAAAAATTGGTAACTGTATGTTGGAAACTCTATTCTTTCAATATTTGTTTCTCCCAGGGTCAAATTTCATGATTAAATGGTAATGGAAGACCCTCCTGAATGCGTGGGATTTGCAAACCCTTCTGGTTGGATGAATTCGGACATTTTTATAGAATAGATAAAACATTTTGTGAGATATTCAAACTATCTTCATGAATCTCCAATTTTGTTACTTTTGGACAGCCATTAAAGTCATGTTTCTATTAGAGTATTGTAATTCAATCTTGCAATGCAACATGGAATTACAATGCTAAGTTTTCCTCACCATAGCATCCATAAATTGCAACCATTGGATAAAACTGTTTTTGGACCATTGAAAAGGTTCTACAATACTACATGTGATAATTGAATAGTCACAAATTCAAGACCTATGACCATTTACGATATTGTTTCAATAGTTCGCGAACCATTTACAAAAGCTTTTTCACCATTTAATATACAAAAAGGAGATCAAGTAGCTGACATTGAACCATTTAACCCAGAAATTTTTGAATATGATGAATATTTATCATCATCAGTTACAGATTGTACTGCTTCATATGCAGTAAACACGATTCTGGTGGAACCTGAAATGATTGTAGCACATGTTGATAGCATTGCCATCAACTTTATCTACAATAAAGACATGGTAGCATCTAATATTGACATTTATGTTAATATTAGATGCTACCATAAAATTTTATAAGAAATATGTTCTCCTAGATATAGAAGCTCAAAAACGATATAAAACATCAATAGAAAAAATCCATCAATACGGACATTACTTTTTCATGCAAAGTATGATAACTGACAGGAAACCATCTTATTCAGAAATTCACAAATTCCATGCAAAAATTGTTAAAAAAAGGCAAAAAAGATGAATCTTTTCCGAAAATTTTACCATTCAGTAATGTTCATATAAACAGTTGAGTTTTAGTTAGCCAGCAGTTCTTGAGATGAATTGGTTGGGGACACAAAAGGTTAATTAAAAACTGGTGAACGCATATTTGTTCCACATGATATTCTCAAGATACAAATGCCAGGAGTGTGAGGAATAATATTAGTAATACTAAGTTGAATTCATTTGTACATTTAATGATATCTGTCTGAGGAGAAGATTTTTCAAAGATAAATCTAAGTTCCAGTTCTTTTTAATTGATAAGATAAACTTTAATGACTTAGAAGTGTCTTAAATAGACTCAAGTGGCTTTAACTAACAAAATAATTAGACAATGGTTGCAGATTTAAGAACCACTACTTTCAACTTCCATCAGTTAATAGAGCAAACTTTTACTTTCCTAAACTTCCTAGAGCAATTGAGAAAGAATATGAAGGCCTCGAGTGAAACCTAACGCTAGGAATTCACGGAAAAAATTGTTTCCGTGAGTTCCTAGCGTTAGGTTTCACTCGAGGGGATTACCAAGAACTTATTGAACTCAGCCTATTATTAGTTACGAAATGATCCGAACCTCAAAAGTTTAGCATAAAGTACCCTGGAGCTTTGGACAAAGCAAGATGGATGGCAAAACTTCTGTACACTATGAAAATAGTTCTATTGTCCGGAAAGATAAATGAGCAGTTTCTTAATTATGAAGTTGCAACCAAAAATCAAGTCATGAAATTGATTTGATTTTTGGTTGCATGTTTGTTTCTGTGTAATCCGTAGTACTTCCAGCATTTTCAAATTGTGGAGCTTTGTCTCCTCCAATTTCAAATTGAGGAGCTTTGTCTCCTCCAATTTCAAATTGAGGAGCTTTGTCTCCTCCAATTTCAAATTGAGGAGCTTTGTCTCCTCCAATTTCAAATTGAGGAGCTTTGTCTCCTCCAATTTCAAATTGAGGACCTTTGTCTCCTTCATTTTAAAATTAAGGAGCTTTGTCTCCTCCAATTTCAAATTGAGGAGCTTTGTCTCCTTCATTTTAAAATTAAGGAGCTTTGTCTCCTCCAATTTCAAATTGGGGAGCTTTGTCTCCTCCAATTTCAAATTAAGGAGCTTTGTCTCCTCCAATTTGAAAAAGTACTGCGGATTACACAGAAGCAAACATGCTGGAGGTACTACGGATTATGTAGAAGCATCCTTTGGAAAGCCTAACCTTAGGCCAAATTCAGAGGAGATAAAATCATTGAGTGACTTAATTGGCCCTAGTTTAATGAGGTTTTACCATATTGTGAATGTTCCCAATGAGTTTCTTCAAATAACAGCTACTTAGTGGGCAAAAATTGATGAATTTCTTAAAATAAAGATAATTGTTCAAAGTTTTCAAGTAGTCAACGAAGCTGCTGAAATAAGAGAAAACAAAGGACAAAGAAAGGTTTAAGATATACTCCAAGTAGTTGAAAGTTCACAAAAAAAAAAATCCAGATTAGCGCAAACTATAATCATGTTTTCAAGAAAAGTCCATGCACTGTAAGATAATTTATGATTAAATACATAAATTAGGCTACAATTTTTATAATAATTAATGAACATTATGAACATGATATTATGATTACATAATTGGATAAAAGATATTGCGTTTTTTATCTTTAAAGAGGTGTTTTAGTCTAAAAAGATGTAAATTCAATAATTTAACGTAATATTCAATATGGCTGTGCTGCCTCAACTTTTTGAAAATCATAAAAATACTTATATTTCCAGTGTATACATGATGAAACCCAGTTGCAAAATTTTGAACAGCGATTTTGCAAAAAAAGGTTGGAGCGGCTGGGATACTCTAGTTTACAAGAACAAACAAATGTAACAAACGCAAAATATTTTAGTTCATGTGAAATATTTTTTATACAAATGCTTAAATCAAAAGTTTTGTTTTAAAAATCAAAGGAAGAGGAGGGGGGGGGGGGAAGGGTTCAAATTTTATGACATCCTTTTTAAGAGGGAATATAAAAAAGGATAACCGGTGACAAAGAAGGAAGACGTTCATTGCAACTGATCTTAGGTATGTTAAAGCACACCTTAGGTATGTTAAAGCACAGCTTAGGTATGTTAAAGCACACCTTAGGTATGTTAAAGCACAGCTTAGGTATGTTAAAGCACACCTTTGTTAGCAAAGATGTAATAGTCTGGAGAATCTTCAGTACAACTTACGTGCGTCGACATCTAGAATATGCTGTGATAGCTTCTAGAGGCTCCGCGAGAGAGCATAGAAGGGTATCTAGCTTATCTACAAAATTTATTAGTTGTCAAATTGGACACTAGAGTTGGCAAAATTGGATCTATAGTCGGAAGTTAGCGAATGTCAGCCAATGAGGACTTTTTTTTGTTAGATCTTAGTCAGCAAAACAACTTTTGTAGGACTCGGCAAAAAACACATACTTTACCCGTCGCCCCCTTCTTTAAGATCTTTTCGGAACGGCTCTGACAACCTGGTGTCCTCATCTAAAAAAAGGCATTACTCAAATTGAAAAAATACAACCTCGTACTACAAAAATACCTCATGAACTAAAGCACCTTGATTACAAGACAAGGTGTGTTAAACTTGGACCAGCTTCACTAAATGACAGAAGAAAACGTGGTGACCTTATCCAAAAATTCAAAATTGAAAATAAAACTAATTTAATAAACTGGCATACTGACCTAATATTCATTTCTCTCATCTATGGTCATCAAGCAAACGCTTTTGTCTAATTAATAGCAGTTGTCTAGTTTGATTTAACTTTTTTAATAATCGGGTTGCGGATACTTAGAATGCTTTCCCAGATGATGATGTCAATGCCTCTGCTATCAACAGTTTCAAAAAAAACTGGACCAGCAACTATCATAGTTATCGCTGTGCATAATTTTCCATGTCAGCTATGCTTGTTAGCTAATGATGAACTTACGGTTCATTTTGTTCCGTGTTTTTTGGTAACTCTAGTAAGTTTTTTTTGGTAACTTTGGTAAGTTTAGTAACTTTAAAGTAAGTTCTTAAATTCAAACAAGTCATGTAAAAAAGTTTTGCCTAAAATTACACAATTTAGAGCTTGGAAAAAAAATACATTAAAAAGTAGACATCCTCTTTCAATTTTTATGTAGATAAAATTTAATTAGAATTTTTGAGACTAGATAAACAATTTACTCAAAGTTTATTAAAGCATTTGTAGAAATTATGCTCTATTAATGTAAAATTAGATCTTAGTCGGCAAAAAATATTTTCTAGGTCTTACTCGACAAAAAACAGATGGTTTTGTGACAACTCATTCAGAACTTGTTACTAAAGTTTACGATGTTGTGACGAGGAGGGTGGGAGGTCTACAATGGTCGAAAAATGCGTTACGTAATTTGTAGACGATCCCTAATGTAAAAAAGCAATAATAATAAAAGTTTATTAGAAATTAATGCTAATCTAAGATGGAAAAAAAATTGATTTTAATTGATATGTACAACCAATATAAGAAGAATATTAAATTTTATTAAGTGCTGTTTTTTACGTCTGAGGACGGTCTGTTCAAATTAGACTGAAATATCACATAAAAGAAAATTAGTTTGTACGCTGCTATTTTTGATGTTTTATAACTTATTATAACTTTACAAACAACAAAAAATGTTGCTAAAACGTTTAACTAACTGCTGTATGTATTTTCATTCTGACCCGGGTATTAATTTCATCCAATAAATTCTTATTCAAATAATTACCTGAATCAGAGTCGTACGTTCCTGCTACATGTGTCCATATCTTCGCTGGTACAACAGTTTTTTTAGTTTTTGCATAAAATTTCTTATCACCTGTTTTTCCATTTGCGAACCAGTTTATAACTCCACTTTTTTTTACTTTTACATACATTGCAATTGATATAGCTACATCGGGTTTTCTTTTAAATTCTTCCCCGCTCCATGTCACACTTCCCTCATTCAATTCAACAGCTTTACCACAAGTACCTAACAATAAAAAACTGATAAGTATATTTTTAAAGACGCGCAAACATACAAATTAAGAATTATAAAAACTTTTTCACAAAAGAGTTTTCAATCTTAAAATCATACCTAACACCCTTGGCGATAGAGAAGCGCCTTTTTCGAGCAATGCGTTGTTTTTGTTTAAAGAGCTATCTTCAATTACGCCGTCTTGATTTGTATATTCAAATGTCAAATACATTACTGGATCGTCAGGTACTAATGAAATTTATATTAACTAAATATACTTCTTATTAGTCTATAATTTTATCAAGTATTAAAAGCAAAATTAAAGCTTGTTTTATACAATTAACAGACTAGATTTATGGCATCTTTTGTTTAAAACAATAAACAGCCTACCTGTCGTACATCGTTTAGTATCGAATCAAATCGAATTAAAAGATTGATAAAGTTGAATAAAAAGTGAAACTCACTTTTTAATGTTTTTATGGTGAATTTTCGTTGGGAAACAGTTTCTATAAGTGATCGTTGAGTTCCTCTGAAGGTACGATATTCATCAATATAATCTGGATGTTTAATAAATCCTCTAACAGTTTCATAAAGTAAACCTTGACTAGGAGAACAATCACTGCAGGTTTTAGTACAGGTTCCTTTCATAAATGTTGTCATAAATGGACATACACCACCAATTTTAAGTTGTGCGCAATCAGAAATAGTGTCTTCACATATTCGCGGAATGTTCTCACGAGTCATTGCACTCATTTCAACTAAGTAAACATGGTTAATAAACTTCATGCTTAATTAAGATAAAATTTAAAATTATTATTGTTTAAACTTTTTTTAACAAAAGTACCTATCAGTACCTCTAGTTTTATTTTTGTAACGTTTCTCTAGGATAATGTTTAATTTTCTCTCAATCGCATCTCTTTGCTTTACTGTAATATTGCCTTGTGATACGGCGTTTGTTAACACAAAATCAGCTGCTTTTTTTAAATTTATTGAAAAGTCGCCTAAAAATAGTTAAAACTTCTTTAGCATAAAAGCTTTAATAATGTAAGTTTTAGACTTATTGGGATTTTTTGTGGTTTATGTGGGTTCCGTGTGGAACCCACATGGAAACCATGTGGGATAAGCGTTTATTTTTTTTACTGGATTTAGGCTAGTTTATTTAAAACAAATAATTTTTTCCTTAAATAAAATTAAAAATTATGACTACAGTTGAAACTTTATCAAAAAAGATTTTAGGCCGTTCAAAGGTTATAATAATATACCGTTTACAATCTCTTTAAAACGACAAAAAAAGTTCATTTTTAAATTTTTACTAATAAAAAAACTGAAAAAACCCTCTACGAAGCCAATAAATTAAATACTAATACATAAAGACATATAATGTAAACGAGGGATTTTTATTTTAAGCATTATACCATGTGTGTGTGTGTGAGAGGATTTTTACTATAAATTATTTCCTCGAGATTATAAGTGTTTTAGTGATTACAATATTCTTGAGTGCATACTTTCATCTTTTCCGACTTAATGCCATATGTAACCTTTCATCATAGCAGTATCCCATCGGTCTATTGGATATCTACTTTCTATTTTTGCAATGTCCTGATGAAATCTTCCAACATGCTACACACTAATATCATCCATGTTTTCGGAGAAAAAAACTAGGTGTGAGTGCAACATATGAATTTTTATGAATCTTTATTTTCAACAACTCAGTTTTTGATTTTTTCAAAAATTTTGCTACATCACAAAATGCACACCAAGTTTTTTTTTTAACTTTTCCTATTGCTTTTCAAATTTTTCTTACTTTAATATTGCTTTTATTTGGGTCCAAATACCATCTTTCACGTGTTTGTGGTAGTGGTAGGCAGTCATCATGTGGAACAGGTGTTGTAAATGATGATATGTATGGATATTTAAAAGCTTGTCTTTCTTTATCTTTACCGTACTTCGTAATATTAATTATACAAAAATTTTGTATAATTGCATGCAAAACTTATTTTTTTCTAATTATACGTTTTACCAAAGATTTTTAGCCGGAAAAACGGAAAACCTTGTTTTTAAAGTACCTTTAAATCATGTTTTTTCCGTCTATAATATAGGTATTACTCTATTTTCTTGTGAACCAATACTTTTCTTTCTTGATCCAAGCGTAGGCTGCGAGATAAGCATACTAACAACCTGAAAGGTTTTGTGAGGCACTGACAATGCATTGGCGCTCAGTAGCTGGTTGGAGCGCCAATACATTTTTTGTGCTTCGATAGCTTCTTTTGTGACCATTTTACACAATTTTTTAAATTCAGTAATTTTATCAGGTTTTTTGAATTTATAAGGAAAACTCTGATATCTAAAATTTTTTTTTCATGCTAAATACTTAGCATGAAAAAAAATACTTAGCCTACTTTGTCGTAAATCATGGATTTTTTTGCTTCTTCTTTGAGTTTATATATATATTTTTGGAAGAAAAGTATTACATACATGACACAATTTTTCGGCAAACAAATTCTATATTTCTGGGACTGATGAATTGTTAAACATATAGATATTTTCAGATATTTATTGTAAATCTGCTCTTTTATAATTATATATGTATTTAAGAATTTCTTCTTGTTTACAATCATCAAAAGCTATGTGAAAACTAAATGTCTATGGTAAATATTTCCGAAAATTCCACTTGATTTAAGTTCGTAAACTCTCTCACTTGAGCTACGACTAGTAACAATTGTCAGCTTTAAAGTTTCAATATCTATCAATGTTTTGTAACTATATGGCTTGCTATAGAGTCACAGTGTGAGCCATCAGCAAGTCTTGTAACAGAATTAAATGTTGTAGCTGTCACAGCTTGTAACAGAAGCTTGTTAAAGAGTAATAATGTATAGCAATAAAATAGCAACAATAGCAAAAACCTTTTTGAATTTTTGACTTAACTGTATTGAAAAAAACTTATTTTGTGATTATTTTACATGAATAAATGTATTCAACGTGAACGAAAGCATAATTTCTTTCAGACTTATTTGGTGTACGTTTATATGCTTGATGTTTAATTTTTTTTTTTGTTGAAACCAAGTTTTAGGAATTTTTTTAATGATTGATTATTTACAGCACCAAAGTGGACCTAATTGAAATTGCATAAAAAATGACATTATAAAAAAAATATATATATAGTTTATTTGAAATATGCTTCTGAAGCTTCAATGTTTAAACAAGCAGTTGCTTAAAAATATATCTAATAATTTAAAAACCAAATATAAAAATCTTTGCCAAACAACACAACTTCGTTTCTGTGCTTTTAAATCTACTTCTTATATTTTATTCCATTTAAACTAGACAAAATTCACGAACAGATGCATAAAACATTCACAACTTAACTAAATCTTATTTATTTAGCTTTTCTTACAATATAAATAGTATAATGTATATATTATTATTAGCCTTTTTTTTATTATAGAAAAAGTGTTATATTGTTAACACTTGTAAATATTATGTAGTATTTGAAATTTATGAAATTAAAAAAAAAAAAACAGTATTTAAAATAAATGAATAAAAAAATAAAATAAAAAAATTGCATTAACACAAAGAGAAACATTGTAAACATATTGTTCAATACTTTATGTTCAATATTATATTATGTAAAAATGTTGATGGATGTAATCAACTTTGGTAGCATTTAGAAACATTTTTGCATATTCTTGGAAATGCATGTTTTAGTTTACTGAATAAAAATACAATTTGTAAAAGTTATTTCTAATAATTCTTAGAAAAAGCTTATCTTAAACATTAATTCACCATTTATAACATTAAATTAAGAATTTTCAATCAAGTAAAATCTATTCAAGGTCTTTCTGGACTGAGAACTGGTGATAGAATTTGTATAGCGACATAGCGACATTTAATTTTAACTGGTCTTTCTGATGAACCAACTAATCAGTCACTTTCAAATCAATATAAATGGGTATCTTCATTTAACTCATATGTTTTTGGGTTACTAACCTGTCTTAAACAGCCTTTAGCTCTTAATTCCAAAAAAAAAACCGAGAGTTAATACTGCTAATGCTAAGCCATCTCTGTTTTCATTGGTTTTTTAAAAACCACGAGGTTGTTGTTGTTTTCTGAGTTACTTTTTAGCCAACTTACTTGTTAGCCAATAATACTCTTTTTTACTTATCTTTTCAGTTACATAAATATTTCTGTTACTGCTATTTAAAGATATGCTAGATTTTATTTAAAAATAAATTTTTCCCTTATAAAAGCAACTCTCAAATTGCACTTGAACTGAATATATAAAGATTTTTCAAATTTAAAACGATCTAAAGTATGAAAGCCCAGCACGTTCTTTTCCTGCCAAACAAATCTCTTACACGCCTGATTAAATTTTAACTGAAATCCAGAAAAACTTGGAGACTATTTCTTGTTAAAAGAATTTACTTCTAACTTCTGCAGTTGTTATTGTTTTCTCATGTAGTAGCTGTCTCTATAACTGTTGGCAGTGTACAAAGTTTGTTTTAAATAATCTACAAGAATATCAGCAAAGTTTATAACATTAATATTGTTAATAATGTTTCAAAGTATTCTGTTAGGCAAACCTCTGTCATTTTATAATAATTCATGGAAACTTTAATGATAGAGGCACTTTTAATTAAAACTTGATTTTGTGTCAAATCAATAAAAATAGTTATAAATTAAAATAGCTTTAAAAAAAATAGCTTTAGTCTTTATAGTTGATTCACATGAGATTTTCTGTTATGTTTATGGCTATACTTTTTGATAAACTAATAATAATTAACTTTAGCATTGTCCCTTTTTATGGTTCCTGTTAAGGCAAATTTTTTCAAAAGCTGAACCTCATTACTATGCAGCGTACGGTGTAAAACGGTTGTTGGTAACCAGTAAAGTGAACTTTTTTTTCAAAACCAAAACAATCTCTTTTAAGCGCTAAAAATACTTTATTAATTTATATATAAGTTTACTGATTAATATTTTACACTTTATAAGCGCAATTACTTTGACTGACACTAGGAATATATTAAATGCGCATACATTGACTGAGGATTCTAGTGGTGGTAGGTTTTATCAGGGTTATAGTCTAAAAAACGGATAATAAACTATTCCGTCATCAACTAGCAATAAGATCATGATATGCTAAAAAAGTTTGCAATTTGTCAGTTCGCAGCTCACAAGTTGCAATTTACCTACCCAGCAAACATTTTCTAGCTGAATTTCAGTGGACCTATAAAGACATTTTGAGCAGTCAACTGTAGTTTTGCTAATCGATTACTTAGTGGACCATTAGTAGCAGCCGCCTAAAGTTGCTAGCCGATGACAGACACTTTAGGCGGTTGTCACCGGCTAGTGGATGATAGCCACTATTAACATGTAGGAAAGTTATTGGCTGGCCATTTATAGTGACTGCCACTAATGGTCCACTAAGTAACCGATGAGCGAAACTCCAATAAACAGCTCAAAAATGTCTATCTAAGTCCACTGCAAATCCACTAAAACAATTTTTTTCTGACTAACGATCGTGCGTAATTAAGTTTTTTTTTGGGGGGTTATATAAATAAGATATAAATTATTAAACATAACAATAAGAACATAACACTTCCATTTTAAAGTATAAAACATTAAAAATATAAAATATATATGAAACACTAAACATATGCTTTAATCAGAAATAAAAAGAATGTGTTTAGAAATGTAAAATATTCTGACCTTCGTCATTGGAAATATTGTTACTCGATCTTGTGATACCATCGTGAGTTAGCTCTATTTTGAAAGTAAAATAACGAAATTAATAAAATCATATAAATATCAAAGTTGTTAATAAAAATTTCAATAATATTTTAAAAATCTATTATTCATAGACGTTAACATCTTTTTTTGTGTGTTTAAGATTCGTAAGTTTCAAACTTACTTAAAACATTTTAAGTTCACGTTAATAAAAATTTGTTTATACTTCATATTAATAAAGAATTACAATGATCAGAACCTAGGAACAAAAAACCCTTATGTTTTTGGTCCCCATACCACAAATGTAAGCACAATAACAAAAAAAAGTTATTTTTCTACTGTCCTTTCATGTCTAATTTATGCATTAACCTCTGTATAAAGATAACCATAACATAATCATAAACATTTTCATAAACATAAACATAACATAATCATACACATAAATGTTTTAAATTTTAGATTTCATTAACCTCGTAGGTTACTAGAAGAATACTGGTTTTTGAGTAAAATATCAAAAAAAATGTTTTTGAACTCATATTTTTCCAAATTTTATCCTCTTTTATTTGAAGAACCTTTATTTAACACTTAAAGCCTAGGCTAAAGTTTTTTTATATATATATTCTTAGCACTGAATAGAGTTTTAACCAATACTTTAAAATCACATTTGTTTTGTGAAATTTTAAAAAGTTGTTCTAATAAACGCTTGATATGTATCGCTTTCTATGTAAACGCTTGATTGTAGGAGAAAGTAGAACATTAAAAAGTTTAAATTATATTTATATTCTATTTCCTGTAGATATATAATTTGATTCTTCTTGATGCAGCTATGCTTTTCAAACGTTTCGTATAATAGGGTGAAAAGATAGAAATAAAAAAAATATTTTTGTATGCTTGTCTATATATTAGTTGCCCACCTGCCTAAGAAGGTGCTATAAAAAAAATTAATAAGTAAATTAAGCTATAAAAAAAAAATTAAGCTATAAAAAAAATTGTTTTTATTTCAAATATTTACTATAAGTAAAAGTTTGTATAAAAAAAGGATGTAACTCATTTTTTTATAAATTGTTCAGGAGAATGTAAAAACAGAAAAAACTTTGAATGAATGGAATAAGTATTATTCATTCAAATTCATAGTTAAATGACAAAAATCTAATCTAATTTTTTTTGCATCAAATGTTAGAGCAGTTTATAATTAGGAATATTCCGTTCAATTTTAAAAATTGAACGGAATATTACTATTTATAACCAAAAGTGGAATAACATCGTTTTTGCACCGAAGTTTTTAATAGTAATTACTGCTTTTACTGTTTGTTAATTTTTATAAATTTTATGTTCCTAGATATTATATAATAACATATTGTATATGTAGAATGAAAAGATAAAAAAGTTTAATAACTGTTGTATTTTTAAAACAAATTACCACCTTGATTTGTTATAAAAACAACACAAATAAAAACTTTATAAAAGCGAAAAATGTACATAAAATAAAATATTTGTTGCATGTGTTAAGAAACAAAAGTAATTAAAAAAACCTTTATGTTCGATAAGCACTTTTTCATTTTCGTCATCTTCCTTCACTGGAGTTTTCACCATTAACATAACGACGCCTTGTTGGTTTGTAATATCATTACGAGGTTGTTTATCGCCTATAAAAAAATCTCCCTCGTAGCTGGTAGGAAGAACCAAATTTAACGCAACTGCATGTTGCGAAGTGAGCACATTTCCCCGTAAAAAATTGTTAGAAAGTAAATTTTCTTGTCTTAAACTAGATAGTAGGCTCGGTTGAATTGATTCAATTGTTCTTTTGTATGGATACGGATTAGATAAAAACTCTGTTCCTTTATTAATACTAGGATTAGATAAATAGCGAGCAGGAAAGTTATATGGTGGGAAGTAATTTGGTTGAAGTTTAGCGCGAATATCAAGTTCAAATGGTTTTTCCGTTCGTCGCTGAAGTAAATCTCGCCTCTGATCTTGGTAAAATGTTGCATCAGGGTACTCTCGTTCATGAGATACTTTTGTGTTAAAATATGAATCTCCAAACTGATCTGAGCGGTATTGGTTTAAATTAACTTCAGGATCAGTTAATGATTCTGGGTTAATGCGACTAAAGTCAATACTATTTTTTATAGCTTGTTGTTTATAAAAATTCGCCATTTTTTTTGTTTCTTGATCATAGTTATTCAAAAAGGTTTCAATTATTTGATCTCGAGGGTTTGGTCTAACATTGTAGTTTTCCAAAGTTGTATATGATCCATCATTAATATTTGTACCAAAATCATTTGTAAAAGTATTTGGGCCTAAATTAAACTTGTTATTGGGTATATATGTTTTTTGAAAACTTCCTTGAAGTTCATTTTCATCACTGGCATCTTCGTCAACAATTAAAGGAGAGTGAAATTTTGGTTGGTTGGTACGATGCATGAGGTTTTCCGTGTTGTAAAAAGTCCCTATAATAGGTGAAGTATGTTTATCAACCATAGTAGCCTCATGTTCTAAAAGCTGATTATAGTTTTGTTTTGGAGTTTCACTATTAAAGAAGTAACTGTTTGGTAACCATTGGTTTCTTGCAACGCTATCTCGCGCTAAATTATTAAAAACGTTAGTGCTTGAATCGTATAAATTTTTTAAAAATATGTTTTGTTTTGGACTAGTTGGAACAAAAAACTCGTTTTGCTCGTTTATGTTGCCATTGTTTTCAAATTGCTCAGAATCGATTGCATAATCCCAAGGCATGTGCATTCCTGGTCCACGAAAGTTGTATAATTGTCTCTTTCGTCGAACTTTAACTTCTTTGTTTAATTTTTTCTCTTTCTTTGTATTACTACTACCTTAAATTAAAAACATAATGTACATTAAATTTATGGTAATAACTAAAACGTTTTGTGAGGTAAGTAAAAGCTTATTACCTAATCCAGTTTTACCCGGTGTACCAAGATCTTTAAGTTTTTTATCTTGTGGACCATTTCCATTTGGGTAGTTAGGCAAAGTATCTAGTGGACCAACTAGTACACCCTGTTCTTCTGTTATTTCTTTAATTCTAACCTCTTGCTTACCTAAAGATTTAAATTAATCAAAATATTTCAAGTTTTCAGTATTACTATCAAGCAACAAATATTATTAATCAATAAAAAAAAAAAAAAAACTTTTCTTTTCTCAGATTCTAGCGACACTGACTTAAAAACTTCTCACTATTATTTGACGAGTTATTGAAGTCAAGTCTGTTCAAGTGGTATATATTTGTGAATTGTGATGGCAAACTGTGCATTAAATCCGACGTTTTTACTTTGGTTTGGAGATTTTCTTTGTTCTCCAAAACATTAAATACTTCTGCATTAGATAAGTTTTTATAGGCGTTGCTAGAATCATTTTTAATATCTGTTGACAAAGCCATTGAATCGTTATTGGTATTATTTTTAATATTTGATAAAATAATTGCTACGTGTTTTGTATTGTTTTTTATTTCAGATAAAACAACAATTGATCCATTTTGCGACAGTTGATCGTTATATAATTTATTTGTCTGAGCATAAGTATTTCTGAGATCAGGCGTCAAAACCATAATCGGAATAGTAATTGTCTTATTTTTCTTTTCGATTGTCTTATTAGACACTTGGCTTAATGAGACCGTATTTATTTTGTTATTTTCCGATGAAACAACGCTTTGCAAAAGATGTATTGTGTTGTTGTGTACAGCGGTAGTTTTGTTGTTATCAATCGCAAAAGCTATTGATCCGTTATACAATGATTCTGTTATGTTTAACATTCCACCTAATTCTCTCAGCCTAATATCTTGCTGTGCCTGTTTCTTTATAAATGGGCTATAGTTTTGAAGACGTTTTTCCAAGTCGCTAATTGGTGCCGCTGTTTTTTCATCGTCTGTTTTCTTATTTTGATGTGGAAAAATTCTTAAAGTGCTAACTTGAACAACGGCTAAAGGTATTGCTTGCCTCCTATTGATTTCGTCTAACAATTGTAAGTTATTTTGTTTTCCTTTTTTTACTGAAACCGCTGAAAAATTCAAAGAAATTTTATTATTTTGAATGTTAGTTTTAAAATTTTCGTTCATATGCATGCAACATTTAAAAAAATATTTTCAGAACCGATAAGGTATGACAATAAGATAATATTTGTAAGATTTATTGTTTCTATTGACTTGCACTAAATATCACACGAATAAAATTATAATTCGAGTTTTTTTGCATTCTTTTTGTTCCGTCGTTTTGGTTAAAATCCTGATTACTTTATAGAATTGGTTTAATTTACTGAATCAATTAAGTTATTTTTAAATATTAATTGTGTGTTTTTTAAGAAATCTTTTTTTATAAATTATAGCTTACCTAAAACTGGAGAGAATAAAAAAAGACATAATCCAACTAAGAGATTGCACACTGCCATTCTAAATAAAGCAGTTTATATATATATATATATATATATATATATATATATATATATATATATATATATATATATATATATTAACAAAATGTTTTATCAATTACAATTGACATCATCAAGTCCAATTTGTCAATAGATCTGATGACGTCAATTGTAAATGATAAAACGTTTAAACTATTACTAAATTAGTGCTACTAAAACCATTTGAATTTATATATATATATATATATATATATATATATATATATATATATATATATATATATATATATATATATATATATATATATATATATATCAGATCTGTAGCAACCGTGGGCAGCAGGGGGATTTGCCCCCCAATAATTTTTAAAATATTTAATTTTGAAAAAAATTGACTGAAAAAACAACTGAAAAAAAAAAAAAAGGGCCTTAAAAGTACTGCCCCCAACCAACCCCCCCCCCTAATATAATTTTCGTTCCTACGGCCCAAATAAATAACAATTTAAAATTTTTTGACAACAACAACATGTTTCATCAATATCAATTGACATCATCGGGCATATGATCATAATATATCAATTGATATTGATGAAACATGTTGTCAAAAAGTTTTTAAAAAATTATTTATTTAAAAATTAGTGTTACTTAGACCATTTGGATATGTATATATATATATATATATATATATATATATATATATATAATAGATAATTTTCTGATAGTCAGTGCTCAATACAAAGTAGAGCAAATATTTATTGAAAGAATAAATTATTGGTTGTTTGAAAGAATAAATTATTGGTTGTTTAGTAACGTCTGATGATAATTAAATTAATTATCATCAGACGTTACTAAACAACCGTAGCTCCAAAAAAATATTGCACTATGTATAACCGTAGCTATGTATAATGATATACTATGTTAGCTTAAACAACAATAAAATTGCATTTGAAAACTCTGTTTTGGAGGCAGCATTTTAGTTTTATCCGACGCTAAAATTAACTTGTTCTATCTTCTAATTTTTGAGTTTTGGGATAAAACGATTAAAAACCAGCTGCAACTTTTTTACTAATAACTTTCCAAGCCAAAAAGCCCTATAGGACCTATACGATTTTGGAACAAAATTAAAAAGACATAACTTTGACAATTATAAACACTTTTTAACTTGTGTTTTAATTTAATCGGGTTCAAATCTAAATTTTTGTTCCGAATTCCGAATTTTTTGTTTCGAATTATGATCCTATAGGAATTTTTGATTTAGGTTAAACAACTTTCTAAATTTCTTTTAAATGTCTTTTGTTTAAAATTCTTAAAAACTTAAAGAGCGTTTAAAAGGCGTTTAAGAAAGTTTAAAAGTAAGTTTCAGAGTTTTCAAGTAAGTATTCTTTTTTTTTCATCAATCATCAAGTATCAAGTATCAAATCAAGTACATTTAGTAAGTATTTTTTAAAACAAATGCCCATAGGTTTAGGTTTTAACACAATAGAAAAAGCTTTATTCTGAGGTTATAACATAATCAATAAATGAAGTTTTTTAAAACTGTGGACAAGATAATTCTAAAACCTCGAGATTGTTGATTACTTTTATTTAGTAGTTTTAAAAATAACGCAGCTGAAAATATGTGTTATGTGAGGGGCAAAATAGCTGCATATTAATTTTTTATAAACGTTTTACTAGCATATAATATAATAGAGTCTTGTACAAGACTCCACAACTTTCCTCCTCGTTTAAATAGTTGTTTCCATTTCAATAACTTTCCAACTAAGAATATGTTTTTCAGGATGCTTTTTTTTTAATGGTTTCTTAGATCTTGTAATTTTTGTTTAACTTACTTTTATATTCAAAAAAACTAATAGCAGCTATCTTTAAATGTTCCGGAATATAATCCGCCATATACTCCGCGATATAATTAAATCCGTTGCAGATGTAAACTATATATTTAAATTTGGCGCTATCCTTGTAAAAATATAATATAAGGTTTTTTAAAGGTTGTTTAGTAACGTCTGAGTTACTTAAGACTTGAAGGTAAAGGTAAGCCAGAAATTAAATGAAAAAACTTTTTTTACAAATTACAAAGTCGATTCTCTGCAAAAATAGGCTACCCATCGAAGAATACAGTTTTTAAATTAGCTTAACTCCAAAGAATTATTTATTTTTTTATAAACTATAGAAGGGAACACAGAAATATTTTTAAAAAACCTTAATAAAAATGTTGTATAGTTGCATATAAGCAGCGTTTTAAAAATATCTATATATCAAGTCTTTACTTACCTTAGAGATAAAGTATCTGGCTAGATGTCATTATTTGAGTACACCATAGTCATATATTATTACACTATTTAAGTAATAAAACACTTTAGGATTTTACGTATACAGTTTAATATTCTTAATTGTAATAATTTTAAACTTGTTTATTATCTTTCAAATTAGACTTTACATAAGCGCAAACTTCGGTTAAAAACCAGAACACTAGTTTTTCGTTCGCTTTTACTCCTATGCCGAGTTATCAAAACGTTTCGCTTGAGTAGTTTTTTAAAAATCACTACACTTATTATTTTTGTAAAGAACTTTTTTTGAAGAAGTCTTTTTAAATGCAATTTGAAATGTAACAATAATATTACTAATATATATATATATATATATATATATATATATATATATATATATATATATATATATATATATATATATATATATATATATATATATATATATATATATATATATATATATATATATATATATATATATATATATATATATATATATATATATATATATATATATATAATTTGACAATCTTCCATAAACGTTTTGCATATAATTGCCTGTAGTTATCAGTTTATTCACATTTAAAATCTTTTTAAATATTTTGAAATGATCTAAAAATTAAGATGGTCGAAAATGGGTCGAAAAACAGTAAACGAATCAAAAAAATGGCAAAGTGTTAAAAAGGATGGCTTCATAATCAGTAACAAAGAAATGAAGATTAAAAATTTTAAAAAATCACGTCAAAAAACTCAGAAAATGTTGAAAACAATAAGTGGCAACCAACTTCATGCAGAATCCGGAAAGTTTAAAAAAAAAAGGAGTGCAAAAGTAATCTTATATTTCGTCAAGAGCCAAATCAAGGTTAAAAAGTTGTGAACTAACAGATTAGTTACTTCAAAAAATTCAATCATAAAATATGTCTTGCTTTAAATATATATAAAAACGTTAAAGATCAGTAGCCATCGATTGAAACAAAGGGTGACAGTTTCATCAAGATTTAGAGCCTTATCACGCAGCTTGTACATTCAAAAGATGAAAGAAAACAAAGTAGATTTACTGCCCTGGCCAGCTCAATCATCAGATATGAATTCAAATAAATTTGTTCGGGTCTGGATGATCAACGAGTAAATCAAGGTTCAATTAAGATCCATAAACACCCAAAAGTAAGTTCTAAATTTTTCTTAAATTTATGCAAAAAAGATGTGTAGCTGCATAAGAGATGTGTAGCTTGCATAAGAGATGTGTAGCTTGCTTAAAAAAAGATGTGTAGCTTGCATAAAAGCACTTGAAAGATATTCTAAATAGTTGACCTTTGTTTTTGTTATACAAAAATAAAGATCTACAAGTATTTAAAATATCTTCCAAATACAATTGAAGACCTTGGTGCAAAAACGATATAACTCCTTTTTTAGACCAAGGTCTTCAATTGTATGTTTTATGTCATCCAATATGCAAAACAATGTTTAACAAAAGTTTTTCTTGCTTATAAATAAACAATATTATTTATTTATAAGCTAGAAAAACTTTTGTTAATTAACAACTAATAGGTTTAATAATTTTTTTTTAGTTTGTATTTTATGATAAAATTACTTTAAATACTTTAAATTAAGTAACAAAATCTTTAATTATGCAATTTTTATCTTTATAATTTATGCAACCTTAATCTTTATAATTTTTTTTTTGAAAGCACTGTATACTAGACTGTTTTATATTGAGGTCATGAAAAGGTATAAAATATCAAGGAGTTTCATCTGCTGCGAAGATTAACAATTTATTAGAAGTAATTTCTTTTTCTTTTTTTGCGTATCGACCACTTATAAGGGTTGCTCAAATTGCGGTTCTCTGCGAAAAGACCTAATAGTCTTCTTTGAGTCTCCACATTCTTTATTTTTACTAATATACTCATTAGTAATTTATATATATATATATATATATGTTTTATGAAGATAAACAGTAAATGTAAAGTAAAGAATTAAAAAAAAATAGTTTCCTAAGAAAATGCTTTGATGGTTTTAGTTTAGTCTTTTTTTTTTTCAGTAATAAGAAAAAAATAAAAACGCAATTAATTTTAGATTTATTTAAATTTGTTTACAAAACTTTTTTAAATTTGTTTAAAACAGCATTTTTATTTCAGGCATTCCAGGAAGACCTGAAAATCTTGAGCACCGAGGATAAGTATTTAACTAGGAAGTACACTCCTCCTTCCTTACCGATGACGCAAAATATATCCAGAGCTCGCATTGAACTCTGGATCCCTTGCTTATAAAACAAATGCTCTAACCATTGGTTATTTTGAAAATTATGAGGTAGTATAACACCAAGTATTATGACGTAGTTTAACACCAAGTTTTGCATCTAAGGCTTATCTATTTTTTAACATTTTTTTAGTTGTGCATTTTTTTTTTTTTTTGATGTGCATGAGTTTATTGGGCATTCACACGTAATAAAAAAATTTTTATACTAAAGTTACCACTATTTGTTTTCTTATGACATACAGTGGCGAATTGAGGTTTAGTGTCGCGGGGGGGCCAAGTCAATAAATAGGGGCGACCAGGGTTGCCTTCAGTTGCCCCTAAAACAATTAATATATATATATATATATATATATATATATATATATATACATATATATATATATATATATATATATATATATATATATATATTAATTGTTTTAGGGGGCGCCGTTAGACCGTTCTAGGAAGACGTGGGGGGGGGGCAGCTCGCCCCCCCCCCACGCCCTATACTAAATCCGCCATTGATGACATATCTCCATATTTGTTATTGAATTTGGGGTGATGTCTACCTGGAGAGAATGGGAAATGATCCCATCAAAGCGAAGAGCTTTGGTCCTAAAGAAAACAGGGGCGCTGGAAAGCCACAATATAAAAAAATAGGATAAACATAATTCTTTTTATAATCACTTTTTCTCTTTTAATGTTTCTTTTTTTTAATTATTAAAAAATTAATGAATTATATATTTTTTAAGAATATTTAAAGATACAAACGTGAAAATTAATATAAAAAATACTTTAATAAGAACTTTTAAAAAAAGCTAGACTTAGATAATAATGTTTAATGCGGGCTCAGAGTTGTTGTTACTGTGGGTTTTCAAGGATTTTATATTGTGCGGTGATCATTTTGAAAATAACCTGATAAATAACTTTAAACATTTTCTAAATCTGAATTTACACTACAAATAAATACTGAAGAATATATTAATATACAAATAATCATAACAAAAGTATGAAACAATTCTGTTATATAAACATACTAAAATTGTAATTTGAAAAAAAATTTACAGATTTGTACAGAAAAAATTCTATTATGAAAAAAAAAAATTATAAATTTGTAGAGAAAAAAAAACTGAACTTGTGAAGACTTAAATTGGTAAAGACTTTGCAATTTTAACATTAAAACTACGTCGATGCTTGTGAACCTTTATAATGTATAGTATGTGTTGTTCGTGTGTTTGGATAGAGAAGGTTTTCTAGTCTATTATTATTAAATTGTCGACAAATGAAGCATTTAGGATCAGATACTACATGATTTCTTCTCATACCAAGCTCAATAATAAAACGTTCTAATATATCATCGTCTATACAATCCATATCAAAATAAAGCTGCGATTCTACTTCGGTAAGTTCGGTTTGTGTTAGATTAGAAGTCATAATAAATACTGCAGACAAATGTAGCTAAATACTTTGAATAATAGAATTCTTCATGTTAACAAACATATATACATAATCATAAAGTTTTTACAACGGACAAAATCAAAGTTTTATCTTCCGGCTCGTTAAAATTAACGACGCATTTAATTTGTAGCAATTTGATGAATTGTGTTGGATGCTTAAGGATGTTTTAACCAACTTGTTTTTAATTCATATCTTTCCGTTATATCCACGACTAAGGAACCATGTAACCGCAACTATTTAAAAATTGATGTACTAATTGTAAAAAATGATTTATTAAAAAAAAATTTAACGTTTACACGAAAGTTTTTAAAGCGAAATCTATATTTAGATTTTGAATGCGTATTATTTTCATTCTTTAAATTCTTCTTTTACCTATACATATGCATTAAACATTGGATTTTTCAATTTGAATCATTTTCTTTTAATTATATTGAGCAAGGAGTTTTTTCTTGCTCAATACAATTATAATACTGTTATTTTTTCCTCCAGTGTTGTGAGTTAGAATCATTTCTATAACATTTATTGACCTTTAATTTTTTTTTAATTTGATTAATAGCATTTTACACAACGCAGCACTGTGTTGTTAATTTGCATAAATTTGCATAAATGTTTTTATAGTTAAGTTAATTAAATAGTTTTATATGTACTTTACAAAACCTTGTCTTTTAAATGTAAACATGCATGTTTATATAAACATAAACATTAACAACGTATATAGATGCGTATAAGGACCATTAGAGAGAGTTTTGAACTTAAGGTAACTCTTTAAAAAAGGTATTTGGTATAAACTTATACTAAATAAATTATAAAAAGTATGACCTTTAGAGGAAGAATTTTTTTACATGACAACAGTCAGTCCCACAAAAAGATTCATTTTGATCCTCCTTACAAAACTTTAAATCGCTTGCAACAATTTACTTGTCTGCAATTGAAATTTTCAATCGTATTTTGCATTACTCTACAAATATGCTGTTTATTGAGACGACAATTTCAAGAATATCAACAAAAACAGAAAATAAACAGTGAAATTATATAAAATGCTTATTAAAGTATTTAATTTACGAGAAAGTTTGTTTTGAATATATTATAAATTTTGGAAAAAATTATGAACTAGTTTGAGTTAACCAAAATTACAAAGCATTTCAAAAGAGTTAGTGAAAAACTTGTTAAAGTTAAATAATCTTAATGAAAAAAATTACGTGAGCACAAGACATAAACCTTTACTAAAACTGCAAGGTATACACCAAAAATGATGGCGATATGGTGTTATTATTTCGTTTATTATTGTTACATTGTTTACTCGTTTATGGTTATTTTGTTAATTTTGTTTTGGTTTTGTTTTTTTATTGTTTCCTCTTTAAATTTTTTCCGCTGTTCAAAGGTCGGGTTTATAACTCGATTTTGGTAAATTTTAACTTTGAAAGAAAAAAAATTTGCTTGCTGACATCCTTTTAGTTAATACTTCCGTGCAAATTTACCTAATTAGTTAACCAATTACGAAATTACGTTGCACTAAAATGGGTATTTTAGAAATAGTCATTTGTAAAAGAATACTGTAATCGGTTTTAAACCATTGTTCCTTTGTTACAAAATCGTTGTTTCTTAGTTACAAGAGTAAAAAATTACCAGGTTTTTGAAATTTTTTCATTTTTGTTTCTGTACTTTTTAAATACCAATCATTTAAATGCATAACAACGTGTTTCGAAATATAGGGCTAAGAGAGAATTTCATAATAAAAAAAATAACCTACCAGAGCTTTAGAGAGATAAAAAACTTAATAAAAAACTCACTTAAATTCATTATTTAAAATATTCATTTAGAAATAAAATAAATTTAAAAACTTATAATGTTGTTATAAGCTTTTACTTGTTTTACTTTTATCTTCAATTCATTTAAAAGTAAAAACAAACCCGAGAAGCACATTTTATTACAACCTTGCTAACGCGGTTGGTTCAACTGCAAATCCAGTACATTTTTACCTATAAAGCAAAATGCAGTCAGCTTAACAATAAAGGCTGCTCGGGAAGCTATTTGAAGAGAAAAGCAAATCCTTTTCCTGTTAATAATTTTCATTGCTTTGGGCAAATTGTGTAGAACATCATTTTTTGCAAGAAAAATGAAGTAACTTTTCACGCTATAAGAGGTTGAAAGTAAAGCCCAACAAACAAATATAGTTAGTATTGTGTCGGTGTACATGAGTTGCAATCGCATTTTGTAAACTGCTTTTGTAAAAAATTGCAAGCTTTGCAGTCAATCTTGTAGTTTTACATAATTAAAAAATTAACCAGTAAGTAACTGAAAATAGCCTTATTATGGACATTAAGTTGTAATATGGGTGACTTTTTACCCAGCAAATATTCGGTCTAAAAAAGACGTCTTTAAGCGTATAAAAAACGTTTAGTACGTTTAAAAGACGTATTAAAAACGTCTTTTATAGACCAAATGTTTGCTGGGTATAGGGCTAAAATTAGAATTGTGTTATTGATCATGCTTTATAAAGTTTGCGTTAAATTGGGTCACTTTTGGTCTAGCGGAACATTTAATAACCTAAATCTTTACGGTTTTATGCCTTACCGCCTGGAAGTAGTGCGGCCCTGGCGCAGTGGTAAGAGCGCTTGCTTTATATACAGGAGATCCAGGTTCGAAACGAGCTCTATTTATATCTTCGCATCACGGTAAGGAAGGAGGTGTGAACTTTCTGGTAAAATGCAGTTCTGCGGTACTCTGTGACAAAACCGTTAGGTCTTCTTGGGGCACCTAAAAATAAAATTGAAAATAAAATAAAAAAGTTTAAAGTTTTATGTCTTACCGACTGTAAACTACTTTAAAGTTATTATTCATACACTTAAAATAGTTAAAAGATTTATACATTTTTTGTACACACTAGTTACTAGCGTCTTATCTTCTGGTATTATTATAGTAATTTGATCTCCCCCACGTATATACACCTCCAGGTACCTTATAGTAAAAACATCTTTAGATTCACAGAAGATTCAACTAAAATTGAAACGTCATAACTTGCAACCGTGAAAGTAAATGTGTTTAAAGACGAAAAATAAAAAAAGTTAGGAAACAGTTAAGAAGATAGCAAAAGAAAATAAATTTATTTCATTTTGGAAACAAATTTGTTTAAAAAAAGTTGCTTTCATCATCTGAATTAATTCAGATGACGTCAGCAAGTTTTTTTTATATAGTTGTCAAAGTTCTCAGGAAAGTTTTATGTGTTGTTGGCTTGTAATTAAAACACTGACGGGGTATCGTCAGTCAGAAATAATGTGATTTATAATAAATATAGTAAGATAGTAAAAAAAAAGTAAGTAAAAAATAATAAAGATAGTATAGATAATAGTAAAAAACAAAAGATGGTAAAGAATAAGATAATAAAAATAACAATTTGTAAAATATCGATAAATGTTGATAAGCAAAAGAGAAATGAGTTTTAAATTATGTCGCGCCTAAAAGGCTTGATATAATATTAAACCTGCTGTCATCACGGTAAACCATTGTCTAATCAATTTATATTTTATGTAAACATTTATAATTTATTTATCATTAAAAATGCACAATTTTATTAGTTTAAAATTTAGTCAATATTTTAAATGAAAATAAAATGAATAGGAATTATCAAAGTTAATATTATCTTAGGATTTGATTATATGAGACGGGTCAATTGTGGTATACCAACAGACTGTTTTAAACGACTTAGGATAACATGATGAGTCAACAGCAAATATTTTTTAAATCCATGGTTAGCGGCAAAAATGGCTGCATCTA